AGATCCCTTTTCGGGCAATGTACATACTTGCCACTACAGTAAGCGGTCCAATTCCTTACGTTTGAATTAAATTATCTTCCCTTGCTCCTAGACTAGAAACTCGACATTTGGCATAGAATAGACATGCATCCGTATATGTGTAGTTTAACATACTCGAGCGCGAATGTCGTGCGACACCCCTTACGCCGTGCGCCGTGCGCATCTCCTAACGGGGGTGGAAAAGTCGAAAAAACCCTGAAAGTTGCTGAAATTCGGTGTGCGGGTGTCGTGAACCAATTTGAAGGTGTTTGGCACGCTCCACCCCCTCCGACAAACCACCCCCTACTCCTTCAAAGGGACGTCCCTATTCGTAGCTACACGATAGTAGCTACAGCCGACAAGTGCCCGAGTCAGCTTAAACTGAACCGTCTGTAGACGAATTCATTACTTTCGCCAATGCTAGTATATCAACCAGAAGTAAACAGCGCTAACGCAAGAACTAAAGCGAAAACGAAAGCTATCAATCAGCATTGCCTACCCTCCAGGCGTTTTCACCCACAATCATCGACCCACGACTTCTCTCTTGGCGTCTGTCGTGACGGGGCCTTTGGGTTTAGCTCCTTTTGACTCCAGGCGTGACGCCGTGTCAATCTAGGCGTGAGTCGATGATTGTCGCTGAAAACGCCTGGAGGGTAGGCAATGCTTTCCTGAATCGGGCCCCCGCGGCGCGGCCAGCTGTCCCTCCGGACGCTTGGAGCCTCGGAGAGGCATTGATACCTTTCGCTTTAGTTCTTAGCGCTGTTCACTTCTGGTTGATATTCTAGCAATGGTGGAAGAAATGAATTCCTCTATAGACGGTTCAGTTTAAGCTGACTCGGGCCCTGTCGCTGTCGGCTGTTGCTACAATCGTGTAGCTACAAACAGGCACGTTGGAAAAGTCTAGAAACTTCAGTAGAGCATGTGTACTACGTTCTGAGAAAGTCCCCGGTGGAAAATGTAACGAGTTTTCACAAACTACCCTTAGGGTAGGGTTGACCACCCCTGTGACACTTACGCCCCTCAGGGGATAGTTTTCGCACATCGTTGAAATTTAAAGGCGGTGGGATTTTCCGATTCCGCGCAGCATTAGCAAATGTCGGAAATTGAGTGAAACCAACCCCTCTGTTTACGCCCCTCTAACTTCAAAGCGGAGTGGAATCCGATGGGTCGCCATCACGGTTACAGAAGGGCATAACCCTCATCTCTTTGCATACCGACAGCCACCCACTCCCAGTAGTCATTCCTGCAGCGCCTGTTGAAAGAAGGGAACTCTGAAAAGTATTGTAACGTGCTAGGTGCTAAGTTCGGGGGCGCCCCGATAGTCCGAAGCTCGTTTGTCCGAACCTAATTTTATCTATTTTAGTAAATAAAATGAGTAAAGTAGTTAATTACATTATGTGATTTCATTTCGTGGCAGTTGTTGAAATAAGAGCTAAATCAGGTACAGATACCATCAGGAGGGCAAACGAAGTGCCTAACTGCAGTTCCGGGCCTGGAAAAGGGTAAA